ACCACCTCTATCTAAAGAGTCATGTTTACCCTCCCCCCTCTATTCTTGTCCAGAACACAGGAAGCAAGTGTCTGTCTGTGGAGGCAATATATTTGCAGAATATCCTAGAAAAACTACGTAAATCAGTGACGGAAGAGACCTGTCAAATCTGCTACTTCATCCCCTTCTTCCTCAGGCAATGCAGGATTATTGCCTAAAGTATATTCTCTAGTTTGTTTTTAAATGGCTAATTTATCTGGAGATTGGGTGGGTGAAGCAATAAATTCCTGGACCTGGTATAGTTTTCCTTGCCCAAAGTTACATTGTGCATCAGTGGATGGAGAGGGAACAGGTTCCAGGGCCAAAAGCTTTAGACATGGGTCCCTATAGTTAATCTAATTAATCTACATTGAGGCACTTAAATAAGCGGCCTGATTTTCAGGGATGCTGAGAAGTGGCAGCTCCCGCTGACCTCATTTGGGAGCTGCAGGTGTCCAGCACATCTGAAAATCAGGCCACTTCTTTAGACACCTAACTTCAGTCACCCAATTTGAACATTTTGACCTACATCTCCTGTCTGACTCCTAGGTGCTCATTTGGCCTCCCTTACCATGGTAGCTGAGTGCATCGCAGTCTTAAATGTCCTTATCCTCACTTTCTCTGTGAGGTAGAGAAATGCGAGCTTCCCCATTGTGTGGATGGCGAACTGAGGGATAGAGAGACCAAGGCTCAGCTCCTCAAAAGCATTTAGGGCCCTAACTTTCGGAAGGGAGAAGCCTAAATACCTTTGCAAAGCTGGGCCAAAGTGACTTGTCCCAGGTCCCAGAGGAAGTCTGTGGTAGAGGAAGGAAGTGATCTCAGACCCCAGGCTACCACTCTAACCACGTAGCCATCCTTCCCGGTCGCAATCTCAAGCCATTGGACCAGTATTGGCTCTGAATGAAAATCTTGTTTATAGTCACGAATTTGTTCACGAAAGCTGACAAACACCATCAGGCCTGATTCTCCTCTCATGTCTCCTGATGAAAAGCAGGAGTAACTCCACTGACATCACCTGAGTGCAACAGGATAAGCAAGAGCCAAATAAACCCCTTTTCCCTACGAAAAAATGTTTAATTGATCCCCGGAAAAGATGACAGCCTCCTAAAGAAATGCACAGCAAGGAGGCCAGATTGAAACAGAGCTCAAAAACAAACAAAAAAAGTTACCACCTATGGCACTGGATGTGTAAACGAAAGTCACAGGACCAATAAATGAGTCAAGCAGAAAGGAACTAGATTTATAAGAATGAACAAGGCAGCGCAAAGCAGTAAATGCCACTTTTGCGGTAATGGGGAAACGCTTGTTTATAAAGCATTACAGAGCTTTCTGGTTAATTGCTAAAAACACAGGGCCAAATTCTGTTCTAAGTTACACCCCTGTAACCTGATTTGGTCATACAGGCGTCACTGAGAGCAGAACCTAGCCCACCGTGGTTAGATAAAGACAAAGGGTATTTAAACTATGGAAAATATGACCTCAAATAACTGACTTGTCATGACCTTTCTGTACCGATCTCCCCCTCACACACACACACTAGCTCTCCTCCTTCTGTCACTTGCACGCTGCAAACATGGAAGGGACTCACTTTAATTAATACAAGGTCTCTGCAGACCACTGGAGATAATGGCACTTGTTTTCAGGTCATCTAGTCTTAATAGGCTCACACTGGGAGGTGATTTGCTGCTAATTGACAGCAGAGATCAGTTAATGAGGTCTAAGGCCTTAGAATCCCAGGGAACAAAAATTAAGGCTCTTTCTAAATCATTTTTTGTTTAACAGATAGATGTGGAATACCTGTTTCAGAAACTTTACTTTGGTTACCAACCTAGCCGCTTACCAGGTAAAATCACTGCATCTGTAAAAAGTCTCATCTCCGCACAGCAGGAGGATCTCACTCAGTTCAAAACTGCCCTAAAAGGAAGGGAGCTCCAAGGGAATGAGACTACTTTTACTCAAACTGATAGGGCCAGGCACTGTATAACAATGACACTATATAAGCAAACAAAGTAAAAACTGGCCTGAAAGATGTGTTGTTCAGATTATAATTCCAACAGGACGGGCTAACTGGACTGAAATGATTTAGGATTAATAATAAATATGAATGTTACATTTATACTTCCAGTACAAATCTAGGTGAGAGGCCACAGCACCTTGTGATGTATCATTATGACAAATGAGCTCAGCCAGGATGCCCCTGCTAACAATCCACAGATGTGACTGTTACGGGCTAGCGCTGAGCTTGGTCAGTGGAGGGTCCCTCATCTGGAATCCACTTTTTCTGCCGATATGAGAGCTACTGACAGTCAGGAAATGGTGAAAGGCTCATCTCTTCTCCCAGGCTTTTGCCTGCTCTGTGTGCACGCCTGGGGGGCTAATAGGTGGTATGTGTTGGGGGGGGGGGGGGGGAGATCTGGGGTGGGAGGTAACTGCTTGAGGAAATATTGAAGAAACTAGGACAAATTCAGCAGTTACATAAATTGCGGTGGAAGTTGTATGCAGAATGTAAGTGGTAAAGCAGAGTAATGTGACAATCAGTAATTGTGCAAAATGAGTAATTTACACTCAGAGGTGGAAATTTACACGCAAGAAGAAAAACAACTAAGCCCTAGTCTACACTACAGAGTTAGGGTGTTGTAAGGCCACTTACATCAACCTAACTCTGTAAGTGTCCACACTAAAATGGAGCTCCCACTGATGTAACTCGCCCACTACACCAACTTAATAACTCCACCTCCACGAGAGGCATGGCGCTTAAATTGATGTAGTTAGGTCCCATGTAGACACTGCGTTACTTACATCGACTGTTGCTGCCTTTTAGAAGCCGTCCCACAATGGCCACACTTACAGTGAAATTGGTGTAAGCGCTCCTGGTTCGGATGTGCGCCAACACAAGGAGCGTAGTGTGGACATGCAAAAGCAGTTGAATTACTGCAGAGGCTGTAAGTTGATGTAACTTAAGACGACTTAATTTTGTAGTGTAGACTTGCCCTAACACAAGGGTGTCAGATAAAGATATATACTTTCAGTCCAAACAATCTCAAAACATTCGACAAACTCTATGCTCAATCTTGCTGTCCTTACTCAGGTAACATTGTTGACTTCATAGGTCCGAGCATTTTATTTATTTATACCTGCCTATGGAAATTTCTATTACTTGCATCTGAAGAAGTGAGGTTCTTACCCACGAAAGCTTATGCTCCTAATACTTCTGTTAGTCTTAAAGGTGCCACAGGACCCTCTGTTGCTTTTTATTTATAGACAACACCACAGAAACACCCACTGCTGCTGTGAAGGGCAGTAGCTTACGGGCAACAGCAGGAAAGTGAGAAATGGGGGACGTTTTGGCCAAGATAACAGGGCAAATCCCTGCTCTTATAAAAGTTGCCAGGGGATCTTTAATGTCCAAGCAGAGCAAACAGAACACCTTAGTTTTTAAGGCCATATTTGAAAGCCCACCTTGAAAAGAAGAATGGCTGAGTCAACTCTGGAAATGTATCTACTCTACACAGATGATGAATAGCTGAGTTGAACTTGAGCTTCTAGGAAGTCTAAGAATTATAAACCTGATTGTTACCACTAAGCCATAAACTTAGGGATGTAAACTTGTAAGGGCTTGTCCTCACTGCTGAGTTAACCTAAATTACAACTTGAATAATGCCCATAACAAAAATCCTGCCCACACACAAAAACCCTTAACTCAAGTGCAGTGGTGCTTTTAATCTGAGTTGGCCCACCCATCGAGGCTAACCCAGGAATGGGCAAACATTTTGGGCCGAGGGCCACATCTGGATGGGGAAATTGCATGCAGGGCCGGAGCAGGGGGTTGGGGGAGTGGAGTGCAGGGTGTGGGAGGGAGTATGGGGTGCAGGAAGGGGCTCAGGGCAAGGGATTGGGGTGCATGAGGGGGCTGAGGGAAGGGGGTTGAAGTGCAGGAGGGGTGCGGAGTGCAGGGGGGGCTCAGGGCAGGGAGTTGGGGGGTGGGGTGCAGGAGGGGTTCAGGCTCCGGGGTGGCAGCGGCATGCACCGGGGCCAGGGCAGGCTCCCTGCATGCCTGCCCTGTCCCCGGCCCTGCGCCGCTCCAGGAAGCGCTGCGGCCCCTGGGGGAGGGGGACAGAGGGCTCCATGTCCGCTGGCCTTGCCGCGCCTCCAGGTACCTCCCCCAAAGCTCCCACTGGCCGTGGTTCCCTGTTCCTGACCAATGGGAGCTGTGGGGGGCCCGGAGGCCGCAGGGATTTTGGGCTGGCTGCTGCTGAGAGTGGCGCAGGGCCCGTGGCGTCATGGGGGGCCGTAGTTTACCCACCCCTGGGCTAACCTCAAGTTAGCAGAACTCGTCAGCTACTAACACAACCAATCTGTGCAGCTAATACAATCATTCTATGCAGCTCAAGTGCTATTATACAGTGGGGGAATTAATTTGCGTGTAAATAACTCTATTTAACTTTTCAGTGAAGACATAACCTTGACTTCTACTACACAGAGCTAAGGCCACGTCTACACCAGCAAGCTTACAGCGGCACAGCTGTACCGATGCAGCGGCGCCACTGTGAGATCGCTCGTGTAGCCGCTGTATGCCGATGGTAGAGAGCTTCCCCCGTCAACATAATAAAACTGCCTCAACGAGCAAGCAGTAGCTATGTCGGCGGGAGACGCTCTCCCACTGACATAGAGCTGTGCATGCTACCACTTATGCCAGCAAAACTTATGTCACTCAGGGGTATGTTTTTCACACCCCTTCGTGGCATAAGTGGTAATGTAGTCATAGCCTTAAGTAGAGCGTAATGCCTTGGTGGTGGAAAGTCTGGGTGCCTATGGACAGACAGCCCTAAGTGTTAACAATCTTTTCTTGATATTCAATCAAGGTTATGTCTATTAAAGTAAAGCCCTTTGCCATTTCAAACAAACCATCTCTCAAAAAATACAAAATTAATATGGAGGAGAAGTTATTACTTTAGAGGAGAGAAATATAAAGTGTTACCCACTGCAATTGAGACAGCACTTATGACAGCTCCCAAGTAGCCCTGGATGAACTTGGATGTTGGAGAAGGCTTTGGAAAGGAAAGAAAAAGAAAACAATTTCAACACAGAATTCTGGTTATGAAAATAATTCTGAATTATTATTATTATTACTACTACTATTTGTAAAATGTTTGGTTTTGTCACAGCTGCTGGGTTATACGTGGCCCTGTTAGCTAGTGGGATTGCCAAAACAACAGGAGTTACAGCCTGATGGAGTAGGTTAAAGCAGTGGCTCTCAACCAGGGATACACATACCCCCAGGAGTACGTGGAGGTCTTCCAGAGGATACGTCAACTCATCTAGATCAGTGTTTTTCAACCTGGGGGTCATGGGATGTGTTTAGGAGGCTCACAAGGGCAGGGCTGGTGTTTGGGGTGCCAAGCAGGCAGTGCCACAGTGGGCCCTGCAAAGCTAAGTTAGATCCTTCAGCCTGAGCCCCACTGGGTTGCAGGGGCTGAAGCACGTAACTTACCTTTGTGGGCCCCCTGTGGTTTTTAAGTGAGGTGAAACTTGGGATACGCAGAACAAATCAGACTCCTGAAAGGGGTAGAGTATTCTGGAAAGGTTGAAAACCAGTGGGTTAAAGCAGTGGTTCGCAACCAGGGGTAAGCGTACCCCTAAGGGTGCACAGATGTCTTTAGGGGGCACATCAACTCATCTAGATATTTGCCTAGTTTTACAACAGGCTACAGAAAAAGCATTAGCGAAGTCAGTACAAACTTAAATTTCAGACTGACAATGACTTGTTTATACTGCTCTATAGACTATACACTGAAATGTAAGTACAATATTTATATTCCAATTGGTTTATTTTATAACTATATGGTAAAAATGAGAAAGTCAGCAATATTCAGTAAGAGTGTGGCTGTGACACTTTTGTATTTTTATGTCTCATTTTGTAAGCAAGTCGTTTTTAAGTGAGGTGAAACTTGGGGTATGCAAGAAAAAAATCAGACTTCTTAAAGGGATATAGTAGCCTGGAAAGGTTGAGAGCCACTGACTTAAAGGACTTATACTAAACTGGGAGGAGTGGTAGATACGCTGGAGGGTAGAGATAGGATACAGAGGGACCTAGACAAATTAGAGGATTGGGCTAAAAGAAACCTGATGGGGTTCAACAAGGGCAAGTGCAGAGTCCTGCACTTAGGACGGAAGAATCCCATGCACTGCTACAGACTAGGGAC